AAAAAAGTAAATACTAATTTGAGAAAATTATTGTTTGTAATGTAAAACTGGTTCTTTAAGCCCTCACCTAACCGTTCCAGACAAAACTAGGTCATCATTCGGGAATTTACCGATATTGGGACAGTAACAGACATTTCACAAAGTTATGGGCACTGTCGGTGCTTGAATTTGCATGGTAAGTTCTATTCCGATTTAAGAAAGCGAGATTTTCTGAATAAAAATTTAGTTTAAATATCATTTTGGTCCATTAACTTTTAAATTTTTATAGAAATTATCCTTCAACTTTAAAAAATATCAAAATTATCTTTAAATTTTAATTTTTGATACCAAAATTGTCTTAAATTTTGAAGATAAGTACTAATTTAGTTTTTGAATTTTAAAAACAAGTATTAACTTAGTGTTTAAACTTTGATTGCAAATACCAACTTAATTCTTAAATTTTGATTACAAATATCAGCTTGATCTTTTAACTTTAATTACATGTTAATCTAATTTACAAATAAAAATATGTCACAATGATAAAATATCACTATTTAATTTTATATATCACTAGTATTTTAAAAAAAAAACTGATTTTTTTTATCAAAAAACAAGTTACGTAGTATTTCTATTAATAAAAAGACTTTTAGTATTGAAAATTAAAGTTTAGAGACATGTTTGATATTTTTTGAAGCTGAAGGATAATTTTAATATAAATGTAAAAGTTGAGGGACTAAATTGGTATTTTAACCTAAAAATTTTATGTGGGTCAGTTTGATTTTCCTCCCAACCAAGGAAGGATGTGATTGTACAATTGCTGGAGTAATGTACACCTCAGAAGCCACCCTCGCATGGTAGCACATGGCTACAGAGACAACCCACTCGGCAATTGCTTCACCAAAACATCAGGTAAATTGATTTATCATTTCAAGCTTCCACTGCGATTTTCTTTTCTATATGGTGAATAATATTGAACAGAGTAGCCCATGGACCAACCTATGTGACCCTCCTAAGTCCTAACTCTCTTGCTGCTTCTATGTTGCACGTTCTGACACTCGATCTCAGTACATTTATGAACGGCTACTGGTCCCCTAAATCGATTGAAGAATTTGGGAAGCAGCCACGCTAAAAACAAGGCGTGAAGCCTTCTTAAAAAATCTGATGGATGCGTGCCTGGACCATCTGTGAAAGAGGATCATACGGGAAGAAGGTTGGTGTTGTACCTATATCAGAACATGGAAAGAAAAGGAGACATCTATCGTGATGGTTGACAGCAATTAGACGAGTACTTTTCTTGCTTTCCAATCACCATTTCGTCTGAGCTATCGTTTTCCTTTTCCATTCATGGTTTACTGCAAAGGGTCTATCTCGAATTCTCGATACGTTTACTTCAGTCAATTTCTGAAGTGATCACGCGGACTTGGAGGCCATCAGGCAAGAATGAACCTGACATTGTGTGTTTTCATAGGCTAACAGGTAAAGGTTACTCATCTACTACCTCAGAACATTCTGCAAGCGATGAAACTGCTGTGAGAATAACATGGCATGAAAGCCATGTCTTTCTACTAAATTCATTTTGAATGTAAGCTCCACTTTACATGACCAGGATGATACATGTGAGCACCAAAATAAACGCACACTTCCCGCGCAAAAGAAAAAAATAATAATCATAGTTGTTCATTCATTGTAGGGCTTACAAGATATGTGAACCAAGCTATGTAGAGGTGATCAATCTTTACCAGAAACAAAAGCAGGAAAGACCAGTAGCCCACTTTAATGCGAGAGGAGAAGATGAATGGGTCATTGGCTGTAATAAGGAGGCTGGCCTGGCACTGCAGCACCACTGGGTCTCACATTAGGCTGAGCCCCAGGGTGAGACATTAAAGAGGAAGCTCCAACAGGATGTGATAAGGGTGAGGAACTGGCAGGCGTCACTGCTGCAACATAGGCAGGAACTGAGGATGCTGGATATGTTTGACCAGAAAAAGTTCCTGGAACAGATGCATAACTTGATCTAGCCTGTAAGTTTGGATCCCAAGCTGGAACTTGTCCTGTAGAGACTTGAGACTGCACTGCAGCTGGAGCAGCATA